CATCATAATCAACGACGGACGAAATAATGAAAAGGTTTGATTTGCCAAAATGGGTTTTAAATTTTAATGGGCAACCATGATTGGCAGAACACACCAAAGCGTCTATAATTGTAATATTATATTGGATTTGTTATTTAATTACTTGATTAAAGTAAACCACAATTTGGTTTGGTGAGACGACCATCCAATCCAATGTTTTGATGTCATTAATTGATCTGTTTTTGCACTTTTGGCCGGTTGATTCGCTTGCTTTGGTATTTCAAATCCATCATTGTAATTCTTTTTTCTGTCAGGCAAGCAAAGGTGGTTTTCTTGTGTCTTGTCTGTTTGCGTTTTTCATTTGTCGTTTTTAGGGTTTGATCTGATTGTCTGTTTGTGTTAGCAAAGACAGAGATAAATTAAAGAGCTGATAACAATGTCGTGTCGCGGCTTTAAATATTTATATAGAGTTAAATAAATTAATCAAGAGAATGAAACTCCCATTGAAAAGGAAACATATACAAAAGTCAATATTTGCGTACAAGTGATGAAAAGAAGAAAACAATGAGCCCCATTCCCATGGCTTTTGTATAAAAACATTAAGAATGTGAAAGTGAACATGTGAGTTGAGTACAAGTCAACGCTCAAATCCAAACCTAAAAGAAACCACACACCACATGGGTTTGAGTTTGACAATAGCTAGCGGCTGCAGAGTGCAGCCCAGCTTTCTTTTTAGGTTTTGGTGTGTGAAGATCGCAAGTAAAGAGATTTGAAATGTAAAGAGGCCTCGAAAGTGAAAGTGAAATAGTCAAATAGGATCTGCGGATCAGTTAGCACGAAAGTGTACGTGTTCAGCAGCCGCCGCCCGCAGCCCTGAGATATTATAACACACGAGGAGAGAACCATTAGAAGAAAAAACAGAGGACGAGACTAAAAGATGACCCATTTTTTCAAGTTCAACACACACACACTAATGGACCTTTTTTTTAGTCAAATAGGAGAGACGACCACCTATCTGTCTTTCTGGAAACACCCTTTGGATTTGGATTTGGATTTGGAGCCCCCTATTCAAACAGCAGATGCAAGCAACAATAAATACTTTCATTTCATTTCAAACTACCAAGTTCCAAGTTGTACAAGAAAAGGAAAATTTGCCCATAATGCATCATGCTTGACTGCCAACATAAATATCCAAACGAAGCATGTCCAAGACGGCGATGCCATAACCATACTTCGGAAGTGTGCTTCTCAACACTCGCACCCCCAATTTTGTAAGCTTGACTGAGGCTGGCTTCACTGTCAGATGCCAAGTCCAGATAGTAGAGTTTGCCTCTCCTAGTACCACAACCAATCGTCTTGCTGCTAAGAATAACCTGAAAGACACAATGAGTAGGCCAAAAAGTTACAGTACAATTCAAAGCCGTAGTAATTTGGGCAACAGACAAGAAATTATGATGTAAGGATGGAACAATCAACACATAATCCAAAGTGAGGGAGTCAGAGAGAGAGAGGGGACCCTCCCCAATTACGGGGGAGGGGGTACCATTGGCATTAGACACCACCGATTGAGAAGACGGTGGATGAGAGTAAATTTGTTCAGGATCAAAGGTCATGTGATCAATGGCTCCGGTGTCAATGACCTATGCGTGTGTCTTTGAAGAACTATGCAAAACATAACCTGGGGAACCAGTGGTGGCAATTTTGGAGGATGAGACGATATCCATGGCAGCGGAAGGATTTAAGAATAAGAGAAAAAAGATGTGTTTAGGGTTTCGGGATAAGAGTAGATGAGGATGTGTGTATGAAGATCTGAATCTGAACAAGGCGGTATGAGGAATACAATACGAGGATACGAGGAATTTGATTTAGGATACGAGAATATGATACGAGGATATGAGGGATACGATACGAGGAATGTAAAGAACACAGAAACCCTGTGAACACGGCTAAGAACACAGAAACCCTGTGAATTCGGTTAAAGGACACAGAAACCCTGTGAACATGGCTAAAAGACACAGAAACCCTGTGAACACGGCTAAGGACAGAGAAACTTCTTTTCAATTCTCTTCTCACCCTGAAGAGAAGGGTATGTCGGAGTCAAGAAAGAGGCAAAATCTCCATGATAAATAGAAACATATCCTTTTTCACTCCCCCTCCCCCCCTTGAAGAGGAGGGGAGGAGAAATTTTGATATGAGAATTTAGAGACAACCGAGGATCGATTGCTCTGATACCATGCTAAAATATGAATATGGGTTTTGAATATGTTAGGTTCTTTTTTTTATTCTTCTCCATAAGGAGGTATATATAAGAGTTAACATGAGTGCTTTACAAGGAATTAGATCCAGTAAAGGATTAGGAAAGTATCTCCTAATTATACAATGATTTGACAACTATATAAAAATAGGAAAGTAAATCTCTTAATTAATCAAGGAAATAAATCTCCTTGATTAATTAGGAGACTCACTTCAACAATAACAATGTCGTGTCGTGGCTTTAAATATTTATATAGAGTTAAATAAATTAAACAAGAGAATGAAACTCCCATTGAAAAGGAAACATATACAAAAAGTAAAGCTTTGGATTAATTATATGTAAATGAAGGATGTGAACATATACAAAAGTCAATCTTTGCGTACAAGTGATGAGTGAGCAGCAAGGTGGTGAAGTCGTGGTCTAGCTTGGTCCTCTTGGACGTTGACCTTTGGCTTGGATGGGAAGCAACTTGGAAAGTTTCGACACATGATTTTGAATTATTAACCATGGAAAAAGCAATGACTTGGCGTAAAGGGATTTGAAAGATTTAGACTATAAGGTTTAATGCATCTAATTATAATTAGTTGTGGTCTTTTTCTAAATAATTAATCATGTCCACATTATATAGCAAGCTATTTTGACGAATGTTTTAAACCTTTTGGCTATTGTTTGTTAGGCGTCTTTCCGTTCATTAATTTTGAATAACTGAGCATTTACAACTTTCCAAATCTGGTAAAAAATAAACAAAGAGAGGGCCCCTCCGGGAGTTTGCATCAAATGAAAGTATGTTCTCCCCTTCCTTTGAGTATGAGCATGGCAACCGACTCCAAAGCTGCACAAAATGTTTAATGCATTGGGACCTTCTCATTTTATTCACAATTGTTTTTGTTTTTCAAATGAACCAACATTTTTTTATTTATACACGATATGTTTTATTTTTATCTAATCTAAATTACGAGAAGCGAAATTCGAACTCGGGTGCAAAGTGGGGAGCGCATCTACGCCAATCACTAGCAGAACTAATGAATGGATCTTATGTGATATTTTTTATATGCGAAAGTGTTTTAGACTATGAAGGATAGTTTTGAGAATAACACATTTTATCTCTTAATTTTTTAATTTTCATTTTTTCTCAGTGCTAATATGGATGTTACGTGATGTTCTTGTCAAGGCAAAGCCTTTATAAAACATAAGATACAATGCCCTAATTATAAATGGACTTTCATGCGCCTTTCACATAAAATAAAATAAAAAGTGTTGCAAATTGAGAAAGATAATAACTTGCACGAGTGATTTATAATAAACGGATGCACTTTGTGATTGATTGATTCCCTATATTCATATGATTAGGTCATGTGTCTAGTTTTTATCCTCTCCACAACATAGTTGAGAAAGGATTTCCCGACCTTCTAAGAACTTCATATTGCACTCTGACTCTCTGAGCCAAATCAAATAGAAATAGCATTGTTAGCACAACCCACCAAGAATGACAGTTTTTGTATTCCTATTTTGACACAAGTTATTGTTTTTTCGGTGCAAAAATGTGTACTTGGTACTTAAACAATTGAATTGTGCAAAAACAATCATTGGGGTGTGATATTACGAAACGTTACTAATCCAGATGTATGATATTATTAGATGACGTTGTTGATATTCTATGAATATAGGGTATAATATTAATAAATACATGTATTATAATATAAGTGAATTAATAACGCTATGTAACGATGTGATTGTCATATTAAAAAATAATTTCAGAAATTGTACAAGTAAATCATTAACTTCCCATTGTTAAAAGTAATTTCGCATTTGCATAACATATCAATGTGATTCATGATTATTTTATCAAAATAAGAAAAAAAGGTGATGCATGCTTGCAAGTTGTAAATTTGTAAAAGTGCTGTAAAACTTGGGTCCCTATCGAATTTAGATGACCTGGGTCACTAAAGTGCTGTAAAACTTGGGTCACTATCAAATGAAACAAAAAGAAAAGAGAATAAGAAAATCCCAAGAACTCTTTTTCAAGGAAGATAAATATTTCAATGATCTTTTTTTAGGTCAATAAAATATTTAAATGATTTTGATTTTGAAGACGGTAAACAAGAAAATGAAAAAACAAAAGTAAAGTAAGAGTATCTCCAATCGATATGTCAAATTGCTACATGTATATGAAATGACAAAAATTAAAGATTAAAGTTGCTCAAACCGAGTAGTCAAATCCTATATGGATTTGAAGGTTGGAAGAGATATATTAAAAATAACATATCAAAAAGCTAGATGTCAAATATTATTTTTATATTTTTAGTCATAGACCCCACTATCATTTAATATCTTTTAAAACTTTATGCACCATATGGGCTTTATTTGCTTTTAAAAATATAATGAAATAATATGATATTTGGCATTTCGAGTGAAATTAATTTTTTTCTAAAGTGTCAAATTGCCACATAAGTTATTAAATTCAAATTTAATATTTTGTATTTAACATTTCCTGGAGATGCTTAACAAACTAGTATATATATATATATATATATATATATTTTTTTTTTCGGGGGAACTAATAGGAAATTGTTAACATGCATTTCAATTTCAATGACCAAGACCTTTGTTTCATATTTAAAGAGAAATAAATTCCCAAATTGCCAAACGTCTCTATTTGAGCTTAGGTAGCACGAAATATTAGTACCATAATAAGTGAGAAATCACCGTCCGATTGTTAACATTATGCACATGGCGCAGGTTAGCCAATCAGGAATTCCCATGTTTTAATTTAAATTTTTTCGTAATTGGGACAATATAAATTATCCAAGAATTTTTCGCTCCGTCATCACCTCAAAATTAGCAAACATAAAAGAAAGCTGGTTGTAAATTGTGATCCCAGATTTCTTCAGAAAAAAAACCTAGATTTCATAAAAACCTAGATTTAGGCTATAAACCCTACAAACCCAATCACCAATCCCAGATTTTCCACCCCATCATAGAGTTCAAATTCTTATTTTTTCATATTTCATTTATTTCAGTGATTGAATGCAAAATTTTTGTTCTTAGTTTTCTGTGATACTTGTTTCCCAGAAGCATATTGGCTCCTGCTTCTTACTCCCAACTTTATCTTTTGTCTCTTGGAATTAAGAAAACCAGAGTTGGAAGGTTGAGTTCTCTGAGTGTTAGTGGAGCGGTTTTGTTTAAGGGCATTTGGGCAGATAGTTGAGCTTGTGATTCAGTGAATTTTGGAAGTGCCCCTAATTATGGGGCTGATTTGGTGAAGTGGGTCTTTGAAATTTTGGGATTTTATTAAGTGGGCAATTGAGAAAAATCTGTGTTGTGAGAGATTTTGAATGAGAGGGCTGGGAGGGAGATGAGAGGTGTACATGAAGGTTTGGATCAACAATGACTGGAGGGTCATTGGGGATTCGTTCAGGGAGTTATGGGTCTTTGGATAAACAGCTACAGAACAACAACAACGGAGTGTCGCCAATCCAATCTGCACGTAAGCCTTCAAAGATGCTCAAGGAGAAGGAGAGGTTGTTCCATTGGATCTGCAAGTTTGCCGGCCGCAAAAAGGTTGGAATGTTGTTCCTCTGTCTCATCTCCGCCGCGGTTTTCGTCTGGGTTTTGTACGTTGGAAAAGGTTTGATTCATATCCTTTGCATGCTTGATTTCTTAAGTTAATAATTTGATTCTGGATTAGTTTTCTGTTTTGATGTGGATATTGGGTAGTTTAAGTTGATATTAAATGATTTAGATGAAACTATTGAGTTCAATTCTGAAGACGGGGGAAGAGAGGTGGGTGTAACGTACTTTCTCAATTGAAAGTAAAGGATTAGTCTAGCACATTGATTGGGCTAATCCTTAGCTTAGGCTATTCTTCCTTATGTTTCTGCTAACTGTTTTAACTTGATATCCATGTTTCTGGTTCAAAATTACATATTTGATTTGTGTGAGGAAGTAATATATGCATATTGGCTCATATATAGGTGAAGATGAACAAGGCGTCAGTGTTGAAAACATTAGTGTCAACAACAGCATCACTATAAGTTATCTTGGATCCTTGCAAACACATGGACCGCAAAGTAACAATGTGACTTTTTCGCTAGCATTGCCTCCTCCTCCCCCTGCTGTTTTTCTGGGTTACACCCTTCCTCCTGGGCATCTATGTAATCTATTCACATTGCCTCCCCCACCAGCAGATAAAAAAAGAACTGGACCGAGGCGTAAGTTTCTACCTTTTCTTTCTCTTTCTTTTTGTAATTCCAGACCTTATCTCTCGAATTATGTGATGTTAATGATGTTGCTGAGTTTTCTTCGTTCTGTACAATTCAGCTTGTCCAGTATGTTACCTTCCTGTGGAGGAAGCCATAGCCTTGATGCCAAAGGTCCCTTCAGATTCTCCTGTTCTTAAGAATTTAACATACATTTATGAAGAAAATTTGTCTAGAGAAACAGAATTTGGAGGCTCAGACTTTGGTGGATATCCTACTCTGCAGCAAAGGAGTGATTCTTATGATATAAGAGAGTCAATGAGTGTGCACTGTGGGTATGTTTTTTTATTTACCTTGGTCAAGCTTTCCTTAATACTTTTGTATGCACCAACGTTTATTTTGATTTTATGTTTTTTACATTTACCTGAGTTTTTGTTTTTAAAAAATGATTTAGTCTAGTAATAATGAGTACTACTTCCATTGGCCCTTCACTCATTTATGTTTATGGTGCATTTTGTTTGATGGATTTGTGCATCAATCAGATTTGTTGGAGGAAGTAAACCTGGACGCAATACAGGATATGATTTGGATGAGGTTGACCTACATGATATGGAGCAGTGTCATGGTGTGGTTGTTGCATCAGCTATATTTGGTAATGTTCAGTATAATTTAGAATCAACTTTTTATTAGATAAATAAGGTGCCTTCCTTATCAATTAAATCTGTTACATCAGGGAATTTTGATGAGATAAACCAGCCGAGGAACATTAGTGATTATTCCAAGAAGACCGTTTGCTTCTACATGTTTATAGATGAGGTGACAGAAGCTTATTTGAGGAGTTCTGGAAAACTGGGCAGCAATAGGAAAGTTGGTATATGGAGAACTGTTGTTGTGCGTAACCCTCCTTATACGGATGGAAGGCGCACTGGGAAGGTAAGATTTATAATTCTTTGCCTGCAAGATTTGTTGACTCTAGAGCAGAGTTTGGCTTCTGAATTGTCTAGTTTCCTGAATAATCTCTAGACTGGTGTTGTGATCATGTTGTGTAAGATGTTGGTCAAAAGTGAACATTACGATGATTTGGAAACATGTAAAATATAATTTAAGTTTCTCTATAAGGAAGGAACGAATTTAGTGTGAATGGTGTGTTTCTTTTGCTAAGAGTGGTGGTGTTGGCTTGCATTTAAATGTCAAATTTGTAGTACGTTCTGCTAAGGGTGGTGGTGTTGCCTTGTATTTAAATGTGTAACTAGGACTAATGGGGCTGATTACATTCGTCAAATTTGTAGTACCTTATGCTAAGAGTGGAGGTGGTGCCTTGGTAGTGTCATATACATTTGTTGTACCTTGATGCGCCTTTTGACTCAGTTACATTTTTTTTTGCAGATTCCTAAGCTTCTAGTGCATAGGATGTTTCCAAATGCCCGCTTTTCTTTATGGATTGATGGGAAGCTTGAACTTGTCGTGGATCCATATCAAATTCTTGAAAGGTATTACTATCATGATAAATAGGTCTTCTTAGTCTTTGTTGGGATCTTGTCCATTTATGCATTCAATTTCAATGTTCTACTTATTTGGGTATAAACATCATCTTGAAAAGCAAATAGCACCCAGTTCATACTGGTTTTATCCAGCCAAGTTTTACCTGGTTTTACCAGTATCCATGCTTATGCATCCTTTAAAAAAACAATATTTCAGGTTCTTGTGGAGAAAGAATGCAACTTTTGCAATTTCTAAACATTATAAACGTTTTGACGTGTTTACGGAAGCTGAGGCAAATAAAGCAGCTGGAAAATACAACAATGCTTCTATTGACTTCCAGATTGAGTTTTACAAAAAGGAAGGTTTGAGCCCATATTCTGAGGCAAAGCTTCCTATTATAAGTGGTAGGTGGAACTTCTGACAGTTATAATAAATCATATATGTTTTGCTTTACTAAGTTTCTTTGTTTTGGCCTTGCTGCAGACGTTCCTGAAGGATGTGTAATAATAAGGGAGCACGTCCCTATCAGCAACTTATTCACTTGTCTTTGGTTCAATGAAGTTGATCGTTTTACTTCCAGGGACCAAATTAGTTTCTCCACTGTCAGAGACCACATTAGGGAAAGGACAAACTGGACTATCAATATGTTCTACGACTGTGAAAGGCGCAATTTTGTTGTTCAGGTAGTTATTTAATGCATAAGGTTTGGAGCTATGTGTTTTTAGGTGTATGGTGTTTATTTAAAGTACTCAGAATAAACATGTATTTTCCTTTTTGATGGTGGTGGTGTTACTGGGGTGCATTCGCAATTTGGTTATTCTTTTTTCTCATGTTCCTTGATGTATTTTTATATATGTTATTGCTGTCTACAGAAATATCATAGAGATGTTTTGGAGCACCTGGCTCCTCGTGTTCCTGTGGCTGTTCCTCCACCACCACTATTACCACCACCGCCGCCACCAGTTATAAGTAACGAACCACCAGTTCAACCATCAGTCGAAACTTTGCCCGAAAGGGTTGTAAACGCCCCAGGTAAGAGGGGCCCAAGGCGCGGGAGAGATCGAAGGTCTGGTTCTAGGCGTCACCGCAAAGTTGTGGCCGGTAACAGAGACATTGATTCAAGTTAAAAAGTTTTGTTCAAGAAAGTTATTATATTATTCTTTACCCTCCCCCCTTTGGAAAATCAACTCGTGGTGGGGCTGGAGGATTTGTGCCAAGATGAGTGTTTTAGTTCTGCTTCAACATGGAGCTGCTGTCTCTCTCTCATTCTTTCTACCTTTGGAATTGTCTAAGTTTACTCATTTTTTGTTGTATATATAAAGTTCAATTTTCCAATAATTATGATATGGGTTGCTACCAAACCCCTCAATATGTAGTGGCCCATTTTGTTATTTCATCACCACAGGAACATTGTACCACCCCACCCCCCACTAAATTATATAGTAGCTACAAATACTCATGTCTCTTAATTTTGAAAAATCAATAAAGTTGAAGGAAGTTACTAGAAGTCTCCACTCTCCTCTTATCTTCTCTGCTTTTCATTTTCTGTCCGGCCATGGAAGAAGCACAAGCACAACTTCAAAAGCAAAAGCAAAAGCACCCATCTTTTGAACAAAGAGGCTTAGAGACTGGCCTTTTTCTCCCTCTGTCGAACATTACAAGGCAAAACTTTTGCTCTTGACTGCCGCTAGTGTTTGTCTGAAACAACAAAGCCAAAACAAAATAAAGAACAAACACCTAATCATGTTGCGATATTGCCACTTTACTCTGGTGAAGTAGGGTGAAGTGTGTGGCCCTCTTCTTTTTCCACTACAAAATCGTACCAAAGTCCAATATATACTTTTGTTTTATTTATTTTTTACACGGGTTTTATTCGTAATAATTTGATTAAGGGCACCTAAGAAATAAATGTGTCAAAACATAGAGAATATTGAGAGAAGAAAGTGGAAAGAGTAGAGAGAATGAGAGTTGTTGAATATTTTCTGATTTTCACTTATGTTCATTACTTACAATCAACACATATATATACAAGTTCCTAAGACATTAGTCAAGCCCCCCAAGTTAGGCAACCAACCAAGTTAGGCAACCAACCAAGTTAGGCAACCAAACTAATTAGGCAACCAAACTAGTCAAGCCCCCCAAATATTGTAGGTGCCAAACATAGTAGGTGCCAAACATTAATTGACTATTACTAGCCACATTAATTGACTACTAGACAACATAATTAACATAGACAAATTCAACATATGACAACTTCTAACAAAATGTAACACATAATCTCTTTCCATCGAGGGATTCCTAATAGTAAGTTCTTTTCGATGTGACAAGATTTCAATTGTTTTTATCCAAGTTTTGGACCTTCTATATTACTTGCATTTGGTTAGAGGTGTACCTAATTTTCTTTCGGACGTTATTTGAATCTGTAAGTCGGAGTCAGGTTGTCGGCAACCATTGTTTTTCTTTTTTCTTAAGTTTTCAATAAATCCTCCCAAATACTATCGAGATTCTATTGAAAATAAATGAAGTAAATTGTCTTTTTCTTTTACAATTAAATATTACTAGCTTATTGTTGTCTGAAAATATTTCTGCAATGCCCAAAACACCCCTTGACTCGTTGACTCATTGAATCAATCAGCTTTTGATCTTAGCTCCACCGAATTGAATAAACTGCCCGTTGGAATCTGTCGGCACTTTTAGGATTGCTCCACGTGTCCAGGCCAAGACAAATTACTCCAATATGCCCGACGATTGACGCCCTCTGGGTCCCACTAGGTCCCACTGGAACCTTATCCTGAATCTCACCGTATAAAAAAATAATAATAATAAAAACAGGAAAGAGGGTAAATAAAAAATAAAAAAAAACAGAAAAACGAAAAGAAAGATGCATAACCAAGAACGCATTTATCTCCCCTGAATCACAAACGAAAAAGCCTTCACCTTCTTCTCATTTTCTCAGCTCAACAGTAAGAGTGCAGTCTAGGGTTTTGGTACCACAGAAACCATGCGTACGGTACCAACAGCGTGAGAAATCAATCAGAGCCGTCCGATCGATGTCATCGCCCTCGTCGTCAGCTTTCTTCGTCATCTGCCTCCTCCACTCTGCAATCGCCATAACCTGTGGGGCCCTTATGATGTTCTACATGACGGAAGTCTACACCTTCGGGCACGGGATCGAGACTGCGAAGAAGCTGCTGGGGTCCACGCCCCACGACCAGCTCTTGATTCGGACCTCCGATTCCTTCTCCGGGTTGCTCCTGTTCGCGATCGGGTTCTTGCTGCTCATGGTGTCGTTCGTGAAGGATCGCGAGTTCCAGAGCTTCTTCGCCAAAGGGTGCACGGTGCTGCATGTTTTCATGGCGCTGTGGCGGTGCTACTTCGAGCGGAGGGTGGAGGACCTCGCTTGGGATTGGCTGAGGCAGACAGTCGGCGATGTAGTGTTGGCAGCCTCTTGGGTTTTTTTCCTTGTTTTCTCTTGGAGAGAAAAGTACGACTAAGCCCCTCTTCTTCTTCATTATTTACGGCTTGTTTTCTTGTATCTCAATTTACCTTTTGGATTAATGGATATAAGTTAAATGCTGAGAAAATATCAAAATAGGGGCAGCTTGAGTGCTTCTGTTTAATATGGCTGCCTACAAGCTGGAATTAGACTTTCAGTTTTCTTTTTTGTAGAAAGAGAAAAAAAAAAGCTATCTTCTTTTCGGTTTACTTAAATCACATGTTAGTGGAATATTGTTAATCTCTGATGTAGATATTTACTTTTGTGGATAATGAAACACATTAGTCTTTTGATGCTAATTTCTGTTTCTTTTAAAGCGCTGCGTAAGTAATGACTTGGTGGCTTATAAACATTGGCTGAAGGCTTGAAGTTATTAGCCAATGATTATAAGTGCTTATGTGTCGACTCTTGAAGACAGGCAATGTGTGGAATAGCCTAATATGTAACTGTAGTTTTGGGTGACGATGAAAACAGTCTGGTTTTCTTGAAATTTTGCTATTTGGAATTGCAAATCTGCTTCTTCTCATAAAAAGGGTGTATCCAACTGCTAGAATTCTAGTTCTGCCTAGTTTACTTTTACTTTGTTGTTTGATTTACAAAGTTGCTAACTTCTTAATTTTACCATGTATATTATCATCCTGTGCTTGCTCGACATACTTACTTGATTTTAGTTTCTTTCTTTGAATCAAACTCATCCTCCTCTCGTTGAGTTGAGCTCTAATTTTGGTTAAAGTTATGTTCCTTTTGTGTTGATTATGCTAGACTAGTTTCTGCTAATAGAGGAAATCTTCACTATACCGGTTCTTAACAACCATGCTCTCTGAGTATTTATCCTGCTAATAGCACTGCTCCAGTCAAAACAAAATAGCTTATCAAAATATAATAGTTGTTGGCTGTTATTATTTTATTTGGTGCCCAATATTTTTGGTGTGGGACCATAATTGGCTTTGAATCATCAACCACTTTTCCTAATTGCCTACCTATGCTACTATAGGAGCACATACTTCGGATTTTGATGAGGTTTCTGTGGTATTAGGGGGATGAATTCTTCCTGATTGATGAGTATTGCTGAGTTTTGGGTTTGACTGAGCTCAACTAGGTTTCATTTTTAGGCTGAGTATCATGGAAAAGGACACTAGGCTCAGTGCCAAGTTTAGAAATTCCGATTGATTTAGGCTCATAGCCAACTTTTGTGTCAAATTGACTCAGATTGATATACTATTGGGCACTCCTCTACATGTAACCCCAGGTTCTGAGCTTGGCATGAGCAACTCGTATGGGGAAACCCCAGCCCCACATCTGTTCCTAAGGTTTGAATCAGTATTTCTTCGTTCAATCTCTTTTTCTATCCTCCTCATCTCCATAGAAAATCTGTAGAACGCCTCAATAATCACTGTGTCAGCTGACCAGGTTGACAAGTCCTTTCTGTCCCCAATATACTCCTCATCCGGTGAGTGCGCTGAAATGATGTCTATTGCAGCCATGTACTTTGTTGCTTCGAGTAAACTGGGGAATGATGATAGGAAGTATTTCTGTGGATCCTGCATGAAAGTAGTATACTCTGGGTCATGCTCTTCTGGCAGTAGTCTCCGCATGTGCGGTGAGCGGGTTGGGACATACCCGCCATATGGATACTGCCCATTGTTCAAGGCAGCATGCTGTGCCGATGTGAGCCAAATGATGGTGGCGAGAATGGATGTAAGATCATCTGGAGTAGAGAGTTTAGGCCACCAGCTAGCATGGCGAAGATCAGCATGGCCTAAATTGATTGACTCATTGTACCAGGCCTGCAGTTCTGTATCAAAATTAACCGCACTTGCATCAGGATAGTAGTAATTGACATAGGTTCGGACCAATGTCTCAATTGCTGACCATATGAGGAGTCCATCTGTTGCATAAGGGTAGTCTTCAATTACCAGTCTTATCCCATGGACTTGAGTAGAGTCTGGTACCGCCATGCCTCTGTGTAGAAATGAAGATAAAGTTAATAAACTTTTATAGTTTAGTTCTGAATCTTGATAGTATATAGATTAAGAGCTTTTCTGAAACCTTCTAAGGAGATCTGCAGGAAGGCCCTCAAGGTCAAAGCGCCACCAATCTCGATAAGCAGCACAACTCATCTCCATGCAATATTTACCAGCTGTGAAATTCGACTCAATTACGCCTCCAGCATTGATGAGAAATTGGCGGGCCAATGCATTTATCTTCAAGGTGTAGCGCATGTGAGGTTTGAGAAGCTTGTAGATAGGGTGCATCACACTCAGCTGCCGGTGGGCTGCTATTATAAGTGGTTCCATGCAGGCATGGGTGCGTAACCTGTTTCATACATTGGAATTTTGCCTTATTGGTTACAGGAAAACAAGTTTATCATCAAGCTTAGATGAAAACAGCACCTTAACAACAATTATGGAAACTGGTGTGCATACCAATGATGAATAAGTTGATGAGCACAGGCATCGTTGGACGAGACGTGGGCTTTGCCAATCTGCCAAAGCCAATTTGTTGTAGCATCAACAGGAGGAGTGAGAACCTGCTTGGATGGTGAATCTGAGTTGGTTGGAGGTAAGCTGAGTTCAATAGAAATAGGCTTCAAGGTTCCCAATGAGGTCAAGAACAAAATTGTACGGGTTCCGTAAGCTCTTCGATCATCCAAAGCATTTATTTGGTCCAGATACGGAAGGAAAATGTCATGATAGTCTAGTATAAACAGCTTGTTTTCTTCTAATGCCTGCAAAACCCACAAATATCATCTATGCATTTTAGGGAATCTTTCCTCTGTTTTATGTATTTGTCTTTTAAAGGCTTTTGTTTTCTAGACATATATACCTGCTGTATTGACATGCCATGGAGATGGCCTATTATATGCTCCTCCTTGAGTGCCGACTCTTGTGGACCGTAAGTGGAGGAATCCAATTTGCTTACAGGTGGGAAAACCGTGAGCCTTTGTATGCTCATAGGGTTCATGCCGGCAATTGCTTGACGCCCAAATTCTTCATCTGGCAAACAACAAGATGTAAGCCCTGAAATAATTGAAGTGTGAGTGAGATTTTAGACACATCCATGGTTCCGTTCTCTTATTCCAATAATAATAAGTAATAAGATCTTATGACGCTTGCTTGCCACTTACCAGAGATTAACTTTGGAGGGTCAAATTTGAGGAATTCCTGGACTTTGTTCAAAATCTTGGGTAAAGACATGTCGGTACTGTAGAGACAGTTGATATCTGCATACCCCTTGAAAACATTGCTGTCCCTGCTGGCAATGGTTGTAAGGGTAGGAATTATATGCCGGAGAATCCCCTTCAACTTTCCAACGTCAAGAGCTCCTTGCTTGGCCTCCTCAAACTCTTCATCTCTTGGCACGTAAATTCTCTTGTATTCATTTTCCGGTGACTCCATATTATCATCTGTTGCATTGCATTCACATGGATGGATATTATAACTAATTGCAGAAACCCAATTGAATACCCGTATTAGTATTAGTAACGCATATCAATCTACAGTATTCAGTACATTGTCGATATATATATATATATATATATCTATTTTATGACAAAATATTAACAATGTACTAGTTATTGTAGATTGATATTTGGTACTAGACAATAACTCTCACTATCTGACTTAGTGACCTGTGCTGGTTGGTGGTCGTCCAGTTCGACAACGTCTAGGGTGTGGGTGTGTATAATTGCCCCCAAGGGTAGATCGTATGTATTCAATCCCCTCATCTGGCTTTCCAATGTCATTGTAAGTGTCATAGTCGTATGTTCTGTCGGATGGTAATCTAAGTCCCGTCCCATCACCCCTTAGCTGCCTTAGCTCCATTTCTCTCAGCTCTTTCAGCCCTGCTGGTGTCTCATCAGGTAAGTATGCCTGCAAAAACATGGCCATGACTAATTTATATAACTTTATTATAGATCCCGAGCTTCTACATTTAGCATCCTTTATTTATCCACATTTTGTAAAATCTAAGTCACTTAAATTCACAACAAAATCAGAGAAAGCAAAAGAGCAAGCTTTTCTCAATTATAAAATAGAATTAGTTAATTCAATATGAAGATCAACTACGAACATAAATAACTCAACAACCCAAGAATGTTATCGCATCTCCAAAGGACTGAAGCCTTGATCTATAGCGAGGAAGCACTATGAAAAAAAAAAACATCAAGCAGGTTAACTCTAACGTTAACATCAGTTCTGGAAAAAAAATATATACATAAAACATAAAATTGATGTATGTTAAGTGGTTAGACTATTTGAGTGGCTTAGATTTCACGAAATATGGGTAAATGCACTTATTATAAATGTAGAGGCTCGATATCCTTTTATATATATACATATACATATATAATCTTTGTCATGAACCTTAGTAGAGAAGAAGATTCTTTTCTCCGAGGAATCTTTGTCTGGTTGAATCCAAGAGTTGCAGGCAATATTGACAACGCCTTCAATGTTGATGCTATCCAAATACAACTCCTTCTCGTACTTGTTACTCACTGTGATGGCTCCTGGCATCCCAAATTTAGGATCCACCTCAAATTTAACTTCGTAACTGCTTTTCTCAGCACCCAGGATTAGGTTTAGGTTGAGATCCTTGGACCAATCCAATATGGCTTCATGGCTCAGCTTTGGCTTCATGGACTCTTATGTTGCAATGCGACATTAAGAAGAAAAGTCAAAGGGGAATTGTTGAAATAATTTTATTTTTTTTCAATAAGAAAAAGTTAGTTTATATAGCCAAATAAGAAACATATGGTACCAAAGAGAAATATTGTAAAAAAGAAGAAGGGAGATTCACTATTATACCCAATATAGGAGCCCAAATTATAAAAATACCCTATATGAAATGGACTTTAAAAAGACACCCAAAACTCATTTACAACATAACAAAAAGGCTTTTAACTTCTTATAAATTGCAAAATTGCCATCAATTTCTTAAAACAAGCCCAATCCCAAAACCTCATAAACAAACCCAAAACGCTCAATAGGACATCAAAGTAATTTTATAATCAAAATTAAATTAAATAGAGCCAGCTGTTATTTTTTTGGGTTTGTTTATAGAAATTAAATGGTGTAGTGTTTATTTATATTTTTTGTGCTAAGAATTGGTATATGACTAAATATCTCAACAAAAAAAACATGAATTAATATTGATAAAATAATAATAATATGATAATAGTAGTATTATAGCTTTACCTGCTTCAGTTTCAGTACTAACAAGCTGTAAAACAAGAGACTTTTCCTTTTCCTTGTGGTGTGTGAAATGATCATGATTGCCATTGCCAAACCAATGAAGCATC